AACTTGCGGCAAGTTCCGTCAGTTTCTCGTCATCTGCGTGCCAGCTCAGAGGGAAGTGAACGCGACAGCACATCTCGCCTAGAAGCCATCCTATGCTTCACTGAAAGCCATGCTTGAAATTGCGATCATGAACATCAGAAAATCATCCTTAGCAATAGCGTGTCTTGCCGTTTAAAAATGATAAAACAACACTTTGCAGTTAAAAATAAGAAAAATGTAATAGAAAATATGACATTCATTCATTTGTTAACTACTTAAAATATTATATCCTCAACTTGAAAAAATTTCACTGAAAAAAATTCTTCACTGACGTGAAGAAAAAAAATTTAATTGACATTAAAATATTTATCCCTGACTTGACTATTCCTTACGATTCTATCTTTGACTATTCCTTACGATAAAAAATTCGTCCTTGACATGGAAAAATGTATCCTTGACTGGAAAAAATATATTTAGTTGATCAGAAAAAAACTTCGTTCCAGTTTCGTCCATAATCCAGATATTATGTGCAGAGAATTCGTACCTAATCGTGATTTCAGCCAACACCATAAAAACTTTTGGCTCATTTGTGTTGACAAAAATCAACTTTTGGCAAGGCAAGAGTCAATAACTCGATAAGGGGTCATATAAATACGCATAACTAGAAACTAAACCTGCTGCTTTGAGGCGGCAAATCAAAAAATCATGCAATATGAAGTGTAATTTGTAATTCAAAAAGCTAGTCATAGTTTTGAAAAGGTCATTGAGACAAATCTAATGATGTATAACACAAGATTTCACTGTAGGGTATAGAGCCCACCATGGGCGCCTTGTCCTGTGACATGCATCGGCCCGTTGCCCCACTAGGTATCATTTCAATTTATATCGTGTCAACATTTTATTTTAAAAGCTAATAGTCAAAACATGATCTCAAAATTATCCCTATAAATATTACTTCCAAAATATACCGGATTAGAAATTTATTGAGTGGTGAACGCCATTAACAGCAATTTCAAAAGCTTCATCTACAGTAATCGAAAACAGTTTTATTTAGCAGCAAAAAAACTTTTATCTGGGCTAAACCAGTTATTCACAAATAACTTAATAACGCAAACTCTTAGCTAAACGTAGAGCCGTACACTTTATCCCTGTGAAACTGTCGACCGGCGGTAGAGCGCACGGCCCAATATCTGCCGTAAATACTCAGCGAGAAACCCGCTATGGGCCCATGACCCGCAGTGGGCTCGCTGCCCCATGATACCCTACTTCAACTTTTATTCGCTCAGAAATGAATTTTCATTTCATTGGAACTTTTTGTCCCTTTAATGTTCAGGATTATTTTATTTTAATAATATACCACACATCCACAATCAAAAACTGCACATGCACCGTGTAGCGGGCGAAAGAAATATTGTTGTTGTTATGAGATAATCAAGCAGATAAATGAAATGATGAGATCACGACCATATCTCAAGTGGCGGCCACTGCTAGGCTATATGCAGCCAATTGTTATTATACTTCTTTATTCATGAACATATTTTCCATTCGAGTTACTCTGGAATGTTTTGATTACATGGATCCATCTTTGTCCTTTCAGTCTATTCTCTGTGATGTAGGAGGGTCAACCGATGAGCGTCGTGGTATCCATGCTACTCTGTGGGCTATCAGGATGAAGGGGCAGCTGTAGAAGAGGTCAACACTCATGTTGTGATCCATCATCCACGTTATTGTGAGAAGTGATAGTGTAAATGTTTAATTAATGTGTGTAAATTTTAATTTTCCATCCGACGAAAGAGATGAAGATTGGCTGGATGAAACGCTGTGCCGAATTTTGGGTGCTCGTCAGTGCCGACAAGCTGTACGGATTCTGCCTTATATTATAGTAATATACTCCGGCATGCGAGGGTGTGAAATGGCACAAAAGCATTAAATAACTTTATCCCAAATTATTAAATACCCAGATTTCCTTGAATGAAGCATTGCTTTTTTCTTCAATTATTTATTTACGTTGCCAGGCTTTAAGGATCACGGACTCGTTCTCGTTCTAGTTTTCTCCTGCAGGGTAACCCGTTTTGCTCACCTTTTTTTGCTTTAGCTGTATGCGATACCTAAAATTTGCACTTAAAGGTTGTTTAACTTCCAAACTAACGTAATTAATTAACTTCCAAACTAACGTAATTTTACCTGCTCAAGCTTGGTAGATAAAATCCTATTACCAGAAGGAAAATATTCTCAGGTTCTTTGTAAATGAATGAATGGTGTAAAAAGTGAGAAATGCTTATTAAGGCAGAGAGATATCATTCCTATAGGCTCGGGACAATGTAAGGCTTGGAATGAATTGCAATGTAATTCAAACATACAGTAGTAACAATTTCAGATTTGACGCGAGGGCAACTTTACAAGGTAAGAATATGGTTCGGAGATAAAAATCAGTCTTGTTGTCTAATTTTGTCCGTGTTACTGTTAGAAAAATTATTTTACTCCTGAGAAATAATCATACGTTTTCCCTAGAAATCGGCAAATAGGCAGGCACTAAAATTGCGCCTTCGAAAATCTTATTTATTCAATATAATAGCTATCAATCAAAGTTTTGTAAATCTCTACGTTTGTGAAGACTTTCCGTAAAATTTTCTTCGTAATTCCATTGATCAAAAGTGATTTTCTGTATTATTTATGCCTTCAGGTTCCACTTACGTTGCCAGGGATATTGATACGTTCATTTATATAGTTTTTCACAACATTCTATCCTCATTAAATTCATTTTTTTCCAAAGCGAATGATTAAAAATGCTGCCACGTAGTTCATAGAGCAATTTGGTTTGAGATTTGACTTAATCCTGCAACTATATATATAGCGTCAGTTTATATTTTAATAAAATTTATTTATTATAATTCAATGTAATATATCTAATATAATAATTGAATGTTTACTATTATTATAATGATTCCAGTCATTGTTTTAATTTAATTTTTCGTGAAGTCTCATTCGAATGGACAGGTGACCCCTTGGTATATCACTTAAACAAGATTAAATGTAATCACTGTTCAAATTCGTCTCAAGTTACAATAACAATTTTCGAAAACAATATAATGTTGCATCAACCATATACTTGTCCTTAAACCACTGTTGTGGGATTACTATACGAATAAAAGCACGAAACACACTAGACCAAACAAGATTCAATATGCCATATGATTAAAATGATTCTGAGTAGTATTTCTTTTGCAATTTCTCTACATATCACCGCAAGACCGCCAGTGAATAATGTCTTGATAAGCAGGCCAGGTCTCAAATCATCTTGCCCGGCAATTTGCGATCCACCAACCGCTCAAAAAACCTGGAAATTAGAATAGAATTTTTTGAATGAGAAAAAAACTTAATTTTCATTTGAAAGAACTTCATTATTTTCTTTTCACGTTTGTATTGATTCCTTTCACTTCGTTAAATCACTTCTAAAAGGCAGGCATTGTTGAGGGTTTTGTAAATCTTGAGTCTAATGATTTGCTCTTTTCATATATTTTTAATAAATATTTTTAGATATTTTGAATTTATGACTGTTTTAGAGAAAACTTGGCTACAAATGTGGTTAAAAAATTTAGCACACAAATACATTCTTTACTGGACAATAAAATTTGAATATGAATGTTAAACAAGTAGTTAAGTAATATCACATTTATTCTTGAAAAAATTCTTCTTGAACTTCTCAGCAAATGAAAAATTCTTCCACTTTGAAGTCGGGTATTCAAAGTTTTTAAATTATTTTCAATAAAAAAGAGCATGAATATAGATGCCGTATATTGAGAAATGCCAATAGATAAACAGCCCTGTTGATTATCCTCAATCAACCTTGTTTTTCCAATGTTTTGATTATTCTCACTTGTGGCTAAAATAAATATACAATCATTATCAATTGCCGCAAAAAATGTAGATTTTTATGTGTAAATATTATTGGTACTTCGTAATATGATGCGCACTTTGAAAGACTCATTTGTACTTAAGTAAACCTTTGTGGAATCATTGACCATTTATTTCTCACATTTTCACGTACTACTTTCCTTTAATTATTTATTTCCATTTCCTTACATAATCCCTACATTTAATAAAACAGTAGATAGTTTACGTACGTTTTTTAACAAGAAATCTAAATAAATGGTATTCACGCCTGATATTATCAGTAAAAAACTGCTCTACATCAAGCCGATTCAAAACATTTCTACTTGGTACCTCCCGTTTGGAAAGACCCAGCAATTCATGCTTCAATATTCGTCCCTTCAAGCCTTCAATACTCGAGGAGAACACTGAAAAAATGCATCATATATACTGTTTTTGATTCTTCCCGTCACATACTTACTTCCACGCGGCAGAATTTCATATCCAATGAATGATGTTGTTCGTTGACAACTCGATGAAGGAGAGATCAGGTGCACTGCCAGCTGACTTGAGGAGCGCCGCGCCAGGGTCGTGGTATACCTCCCGGATTTGGGGGAGCTTCGCGAACAGCCGACGAGCGCCCGTAGCGGTGAGGCCATTTCTCGGTAAGACCAGACTCAGGCTGAGATGGCAATCAATTAAGGAACTAAGAAATATTATACTTTTATCGGGAAATCTGAGTCAGAATTTTCGTAAAGTTGATCGACACAAAGTGAGTAAGTTTTAGTGAATGAATCATTCGAGTTGGCTACACTAGCTCTAATTGCATATATATATTCAATTGTATAATTTTGAATATTATATAATTTAATTTAATTGAATATAGCCTCCAATTATAGATACTCCTATACTTTCTATATATTGGAAGTATAGGGAGTTGGAGGCATTTAGCGATAGGCATCGAAAGCGATAGGCATTTAGCTTCATTACTTCACAATATATTATGTAAGAAGCCCTATATATATTGCAGTGTTTTTATGTCGTTCTTATTTATACTTGATTCAGAAAATATTTTTTTTTATATTTAAAGTGTCTTTCAACATAATATTAATTCATTTGTAAGAACAAAATCCTAGTGTTCGACTGGCAAGCGCTTTAGTAACAGAAACTGCAAGAATGAAAATACTAATTAATTCAAATAGAGTTTATTCATACGCACCGAGAATCCTTAAATCGGTGCAGGATGGAGATCATCCAGTCCAAGTCGTCGTCGCAGACGTTTGGGAAGTGCCAGCGGGTGACCCTACAACCATTCTTCCGTAATTTTGAGCTGACATTGCGAGGCGTTCCTCTGACACAACAAGCATCGTCTGTAGAACAGGCCGGACTAGAATGAACAAAAAATATTTACTCAGCTAATTTATCCTTTTGTTCAATATTAAAAATCTGTGCTATCCTCAGTCAAAGTTCCATCGTTTGGCGGTAATGACGCGTACAACACATTTTTTGACGCTTTCTGTCAATAATTTACTGATGAAAGGTAAAAATTTATGCAAATAAATTGACTCCGATAACCGAGGTTACTAATTATTCAAACTTTCATTGAAGACGAGTCATCTGCGCGAATAGAACTTCATTTTTCAATATGCAGATCATCCAGACTAAGATGCTAAGTCAGTTTGTGTTGTTCATTGTCTCCGCAGTGACAATGGGTAATAAAAGCCTCCGACCACTTCAACGGGCCAATTGATAGAGATGACAGGGACGTGTTTGTTTCATTAAGTTATGTTTCCTGTTAATTATGTAAATTTGTACTGTTGCGTTGTTATTAACTTAAAAAAGTAATAACTTATAATAATGCAATGCATTAGAATGGTATCCGTGCTACTACAGTTCTTTCACCACCGTCACTTATCATTCCCAAGAAAATTGAATTCACTTTCTGCTTTCAAAATCAACAATTTTCAATATCAGTTACAACGATGGGTTCAACTAACGGTTAATTATTCGAAAACTTACCAATTTTCTTTGGTAAATATTTAGACCAGTAGAAGTCGTTTCCGCCTAAACGTAGACCGATCCTGCAAGGCCACGCTCTAGTTGCTCCTGTTTGGAGTTTGGGAACCTTAAATCTACCTTCCACGCAAAGTCTAAGGTAAGCTACCAAAAAATATTTAATATTTATATTTAGAATAACTTATTTTATCCACTTATTTGAACGTGTTCGTGAACCTCATCAGTTCCCACTTTTTATTCAACTTTCTATTGCTCATACGATTTGATGACCTCGAACTCAACTTATGCTTCATGGATGTAAACATCTCTCTGTTTATTGAAGTAAATAAAAAGTAAATGAAACGTAGAGGCTCCAGTTTGTGTTTTGTCCTAACAAACTTGCTATAGGAATCAAAGGTGCAACATAAGCGATGCTAGCAATTAATAGAAAAAAATGCCGTTTCTCAAGAAAGACTTGACAAATTCCAAAACTTGCAAGGGATAAAACAGTAATTTATTGCAATTAGAATAAATCAGAAATAACACGGCTGTTATATGAATCAATCTTAGGATACAATCTACCGCTCTGCATTCCGACGCGATGTCGCTTGTTGAAGTAGTCTAAGAACTGACCATGAGAGCCGTACATTGTATCAAGGCGGACACTGTCAACACAGGAAAACGTGAGAGAATATATGATCAAGAAACATCACTCTATAGATGAATGGGAAGAATATGATACAGTAATTTATGTAGATTTCAGAGTTTTTATCGATTTAAAATTTTCATTCAACGTCTAGACTTATGAGCTTGGAAATTATAAAAATTAACTCATATTTGGGCTACGAACGATATTGAGTTCCAACCACCAGCATGGGGAAGCTTCTAATGACACACGTGACTACCACGTGGCTACCCGAAGATATAACCTGAGTTAACACAAAATTTGACATTCATTTTACGTTTAGGCGATGACGGCCAAAGCGAGATCGCGTCAGAGGTGACTCTAGACCTGAATGTGGAAGAAACCAACAACTATTGTACTCTTAAGTACATTTATAAATATCATCGCTTCCGCAATCGTCATAATTAAACGTAAAGACATCTATTAAAATACGTCAATTATAGTACTTATGGGGCACGGACGCGTATAAAATTTCTTCACATTGTTCTTTTACGTTGTACTTTCACATTGTTCTTTCACTTTGTCACTCCATTTATGAGTGATACGCTCCTCAGATGCTCTAAAATTTAAGTCCGCTTAATTAGGTTATTATAAATCCATTGGTTCCCACTATTGGATGCAGATGCATTTGAAAGTAACATTTTCAAGTTTAACAGGTTATCGATTTGAACATATTGTCAATAAAATAAAAGAAGTGAAAACTTGAATTGCTTCTTGAAGGTCAAAATAATGAAGATGGTGCAACTGAAAGTCAATTTTAAAAACACCAGTATTCGACATTCATTGCAGCAAGGATGACAAAATCTGCTAAGTTCGTGGTGGTGGTGTTGGTGCGGTGCTACTATAGGAAAGAGTGGAAGCGAACATGAGGTGGAGCAGATTGGCCTGTAAGAATAAGGAGAAATGGATAGGGCAGTAGGAGATGAAAAAGGTGCATAACGCATGATTGGGTTGGTTATTAGTGTGTGCGGGGTTTGTTTAGGGTTGGGGAGAGGGAACTCGTCAGGGCTTGGATAGTTTGCTCCGGAGAGTGATGGAGGGTGATGGTTTTAAATTTACGTTATTTATAAATTTGAGTACTATTAACAAGAAATATATATGTATATACATATATGTTACGTACTCTATTTACATGCATTTCATTTTATCATTTTTGTAATATTCATCATTTTATTTGTTTTGCTGATTTCGAAAATATACATCGCATTTATTCGTGAGACAATGTTCCACTCCCAAGCCTCCTTGCAACGATCTCCCATAATTTCAGTGAAAGTTCATAAATAATGGTCATTTTATCTCTATCTTCACCCGCTCGCACTGCGACTATTTTCTGAATTGTCAAACTATTGTCCAATGTACCCTGACTTGTTGATGATGGCTCCCATGCCTCCATCCGGCTGTCCTGGCGGCGCCCAGAAGGAGTCCAGGGGCAGCAGGCTGATGTCGCCGCGGTGGTGGGCGGCGAGGCGGGTCAGCAGCTGCCCCAGCCCCGGGATGGGGCTGGTGTGGGTGGACACCACCACGAGGCGACTGGGCTTGATGTTGCTGGACAGGCTGGCGACAGCTCGCTCTCCTTCATCGCAGCTGGTGACTGTCCAAGGCACACCGTGCTCATATGTCTGAAAATTCCACGGGAATTTTTCATGTTGCAATTTAAATATACGAATAGTAATTCTATTAGCAATGTGGTTATTCAGTAACATGAATGGATTGGCAGAAGTAGAAAAAGTGAATAAATGTAAAAAAGCGTTTATTGGGCAGATGAACGACATCATTTCCCCTCTCCATAGAAAGCATTACCTATAAACGTAATGCTTTATATTGCACTTTACTAGACTATGATTATTTTTGACCCAATGACCTAAGTAAAATTGTGAATAAAAAGTAAAAAAATTAATCTGGCTGGACCTAACCTTATTAGGTAACCTAACTCTGAACCTAATCTATTCGGTTTATTCGTAGAAATTAAAATGAAATTATATTGCAAGAATAAATTGAATAATTTTTTTACGGAATCAATCCAGAACAAAATAATTTCCAGTATTAAACCAGAGGGAAAAAAATACGAATCGATCGTAGAATAGCGTTTTTAATTAGTCTTGAGACTCACATGGAGGGAATTTTCATCACCATATATCCATCCAAAATTCTTTTATATCACATGTATTCGCTGAGTAATACACAATGACAGTAAGGGCACAATCTGAGAATACGAATGGGCTATTGTAGCACGGCTTCAGGCTTTTTGCTGGGCAAATAGGGTCAGGAAGACCTACTCAGGAGTGATAAGTTCTGCGTTATGTGTACATGGACCCTCATTCTCTGAACGATGACTCACCAGCACAGGAACCTGGAATGTTCGAGGAGTCGCTCCCGCAGTTGCGCCCTTTGGATGTGGCGCCTGAAGGTCGTTTTGAATTCGTGGCAGGGCCGCGCCAGCGCCGGGGCACTGTCGCGCCGTCGCCGTGACAGCAGGCCCTTGAATCTAAAACTCGTCAGCAACATAAGATACTCTTAACATAAAAATACCCAAATGAACGTGCGCAACACATTTAGCAATACGTTAAGTCTTCGCTTTTACAGCATTCATATTTTGATTACGATTTAAGATTGATCATTTGTTGCAATTTATTTCAACTTAACCCTAAAAAATAATTTATTTTATCCTCTCATTTTATGCCTTTCATATCAAATATGTAAAATTAAATATTTAGGGAGCTCTGAAATGATCTGTCGGTTCATGAATGGTGTAAAAAACGTTGTAATACATTCGAAGCTAGCATATTTGGATGATATATCATTTATTTACAGATTTATATTATATTGTTTGAATTGGCGGTTTGAATTTTTCTCCAAACCTGCCGGTATGCGGTGGGCATGACCGACCCAGTTCCAAACATGCTATGTAGTTTTAATCGGAGCTGACTCCTGCTCCAACTTATAAATATCTGTCTCAAAACTCACTTTACTCACCTGTAATGAATCGCATTTTTTCAAAGCTGCATTCAACCTCGCTCTGATCTCTGGTATCTCCACATTTTCTGGAGGCTTCAATTTTAGACGGCAAAGCATTTCCCTGCATTCATGTCGCTGGTTCTCATCCACACCGGAGAGCGTGACATCCCAGGCATGGAGGTCGTGTTCTTTCGACATTTTTTGGGCCAGCGAATCTTTCCATCCATGAAAGTCAGTCTTCAGGTTAAGGATTTCATCCATCAAACTCAATATATCGTCTGACACAGAGACTAGGTTATTCCCGCTCCCCAGTTTATCGTGCATTGTTGTCCGTATTTTCATCCATGAGCTCAAAACAGCTTGATTCTCCTGCGACAGGTTGCCTATTAACTCAATTTTATGCGTGACATGTGTGCCCCTGGTGCACGCAAAGCACACGAGTTCCATGCAGTCCACGCACAGGTAATCCAGGGCCTTCCCTTGATGGAGGCACGGTGCCTCTGACTGCGAGCTCGGGGGATGTCCGCGAGCCGTGTTTTCAGAAGGAATCAATACGTAGTTGACAATAATTTGATCAATTTGTTGAGAAAATGGTTTCCTACATTGTGGGCAATTTTGAGTTCCAGGGAGTCTTAGTAAATTTGTTATGCAAGAGAAACAAAACGTGTGGCCGCAGGTTAGGCAAAGCGGTTTGTGGTTGCCCGAGTCGAAGTTCTCATTACAAATGTCGCACTCTATCGTCGCACTTGCCATTTTGTGGAAAATTTTAGTTTCATGTAATTATTATTGAGTGATTTCCAACAAAAAATATAGGTACACTTGACACAAGCCTTCTGAGTGATAGTTAGTGATCCAGCATCTGCTGGTCTAATAAGCTTGTTTGATCGACATCACTTCTTTCCTCCAAGAAAAGGCAACTCGTTTTACTTGAATTAACCTAGAAGTTATGATGCTACTGCGCAAATAAAGTCTAGTGTAGCCTTCCTTAATCCTAAATCAGGTGAGAGTCGAAGACGAATAAATATACTCTTAGGTACCTTGTTCGAAACTTACACGTCAACATTGAAACGTGGTGCTTCATGGATGTAAACCTCAAATAAACTATTGAAACTTGTACTGTCTACAAGCCAAATTTCCTGTACTCCGTTCGTCTATAATAGCACTAAATTTTTCATTCCATAAAATTTAGATTGAAATTAAAAATTTAAGAACAATCATTGATAAAGCGTGACAAAATGGTTGTATGGGGAGCTGAAGCACCGATTTAGACATGATCATCATGCATCTTCCCACTAAATCATATTTTCAATTAGTTACAGAAGAGAGGTTTCTCCAGCGTTCCAGTATTTGCACAAACAGGAAATAAATATTTTAGTCGTGAAAGTCACTGAAGGCGCAAATCAATGCTGGCGCTATGAGCGCTGATTCTGTTCCGTGCACTTCCTTGAAAAATTATCTGAAGAATTTCGTGTTTATGTTTTTACTTCCAAAATCGAGTGGGGGGTATAAACGATGAAAAAATGTCTTCATCAACAATTTACATTGCCTGATATTAGTGGACTTTATTGCGGATTTAAACAAGAAGAAATTTAGTTGTCATCCTTTATATTAAAATTAAATTTACTGCTTTGAGTACGTATCTGACTTGCGTCTGATATGCAAGTATCAGATGATACTTGTTATTGCGTCACTATTTGGACAATATGATTCGTTCATTTGTATGAGTGTACACTGATTTTTCAGCTTTGTAAGCTACAGCTCCCAATAACTGATAAAATGGTGCCCTATGAAATGAGGGTGGTAGAAAACGACAATTGACCTCACTGTCTGTGAATACGAAGAATCTGAGACAAAGTTAAAATACATAAATTACCAATAATGAAGATTTTAAATTGACAATATGGAGTTTTCGATCACAAAAATAACATGAATTTGATCCAACTTAATTTTAACATAATTCTTTAGTTCTATTTTCCATTCTTTTATTAGGAAGACATCAACACTATGACAATTTCTCTGGAAATGGAAAGACGAATAAATTAAATACAAGGATGACAAAAAAATGATAATGAAAAATTTGGTGGTAACAAACTGCTGCTAAAGATATATGAAGGTTTTTTTCGATGCCTTCTTTAGAAGCGAAAGTTCGATTGTTGAGTAATAATGGCCATCGCTTTTCGTCACTGAACTTCCCGTCTCTGCATTACTTATTAGGATGGTAATACTTGGGACAAACTTGGGTCTTGAGTCTTGCCTCAACGTCCAAACACCCGACCGAGACAACAGCAGAAGTAATATTATAATTAACTCTTATTATTGCATTATAATATGACGATAATAAATCTTATGATATTATTTATGTATATTTCTCATTATGTGATATTAAAATAGCAGGAAATCATAATATTCAATCATTGAGCATAAGGTGAATACGAGGCAACAACGAGTGAACTGATGAAAATATTTTTGATATATGAATACTCGATTCGATAATATTAATATTTCTCATACTCCGATATTCATCACACCCTCAACTGCTTTCACGTTTCCATCAATTTGCTACGTATGCACATGCCTGCGACCTGCTAGCACCGCAACGAACAACTGCTGCAGCGCTATCAGGCCGCTCAGATCTTATCGCTGCAATGAAAATCATAATTAATATCTGGTTCGGTGACATGCAGAGGTTAGATTGTGTCGCTATCTCATGTTGCGGGACTGATATGATCACGCTGCCAATTATGCTAGTTTTTCTTCATTCTTGGAAAAGTTTTCTGTCTAATGACATGAGTATGATTTTTAACAAACCTCGTTTACCTTTCTCGTCGTTGAGCTTGTGCAACTTATCACGCTCTAACGAGTCTTTTTCACTAAAATGAGATGACGTTGACTACAGTAAGCGAATACGGAAAGCAAATTCATCTCATATTTGCCTATTCCCCTTTTTATTTCTCGTTCCTGTGATGCCTTTCTCGCCATTACTTTCTTCTTCGGCATCTTAACAACTTAATTCTCTCGGTGGTATTCTGTCCACAGAGCGGTTCCTCTCTGTAAACTTCAAACACATTTCTAAGCCTTATAACTGCAAGATATAAGAAAAATGCCTGAATGAATGATTTAAAATTTATATATGGCTTGGAAGGCAGATTTCTCTTTAAAACTCTAGGAAACCACCATTTTGAACTTGAATCACATTCAGCTATTTTGGAGACCATTAGTTATATAAGAGGGGAATTCAAAATAATTACTGATCAAGAAAATACCCAGTGTTATCTTATGGCGATTGAGTATGCAGTTGCTATACGAGTGTTTAATATTTTGAATTATAGATTTATTATTTGAATATACAAAATAATTATCAAAAGTCGTTCAAGAGGTTCTCATAAAATATAAAACGTCAGAACAGATCAAACACGTTATTTTCTATTTAACATTTTGTATTTAATGAAATTGTTTCAGCGACCTGAAATTGCGAGCGACCTGAAAGTTGAAGACAATGCTTGAATAAATTGAAAGAATTAATAAGTTTAAAAATTCAAAAATATATATGTTGATATATTAAAAAAATTTTATAAATATTTTAAAATATTTAAAAATGACATACAAAATTCATTATATACGTGTAACATCGGAGACACTGGCCTCTTTAGAAGTGCTGTCTTTAAAAAGTAATTTTTAAACGCATATTTTTATTGCTGTACAAAGTGGTGATGTGTGATGCCACATACGAAAGCTGTTACTTTTTCTGAACGAAGTGGTGATGCCACACGAGTGCTTTTACTTTAGCTGGTGAAGTGGTGGTAACACTCACGATTCCCGTTACTTCAGCTGTGGGATGTGCCGAAGAACATCAGTAACAACAGCAGCAACGACAGAAGCAACATCAGCAATATTAGCAACAACATCAGCAACAACAGCAGCAACGACAGCAGTAATATTAGCCAAAACATCAGCAACATCAGCAACGACAGCAGCAACAACATCAACAACATTATCAACAACATCGGCAACACAATCAGCAACATCAGCAGCATTAGCATCTACAGTAGCTACAACAGCAGCAGCAACAACAGCAAAAACAACATCAGCAATAAAATCAGCGACAACAGCTGCAACATCAGCAGCAACGAAAGCAGACACTACACCAGCATCATTAGCAACATCAGCAACCACAGCAACAACAAAATCAGCAACATCAGCAGCTCCGAAAGTAAAAACAAAATCAGCAACATTAGCAACAAAACTAGCAACACAATCAGCAACATCAGCAATCGCAGCAGCAACATCAGCAGCAAATACTGTAGGAACAACAGCAGCAACATCAGCAACATCATCATCAGCAACTTCATCAAGGACATCAGCAGCAAAAACAGCAACAACGACAGCGGCAACACTATCAGCAACATTAGAAACAACATCGTAACAACAGCAGCAACAAAAGCATCAACATCAGCAACAAAATAAGCAACAACAGCAACATCTACATAACTCTCAGCAACATCAGCAGCAACATCAGCAGCAACATCAGCAGCAACATCAGCAGCAAAATCAGCAGCTACATCAGCAGCAACATCAGCAGCAACATCAGCAGCAAATAACAGCAACAGCAGCTACAGCATCAGCAGCAACATCAGTAGAAAAACAGCAGCAGAAACAACAGCAGCAAAACCGCAGGCACAACAGCAGCAACAGCAACAACCGAAGAAATGACAGCAGCTGCAACAGCAGTAACAGTAACAGCAACAGCAGCAGTAACACCAACAGAAACAGCAACAGTAAGAGCGGTAACAATAACAGCAACAGTAACAACAACAGCAACAGTATCCTCATCATCGTCGCGTTATCGTCGGCCGCCGCTCGCCGCGCAGCCTGTGCAAGGCTCGCGCACCAGCGTTCACACAAAATGGAAGACGGCCTGCGTTCACGCACGTTATTTCATCCTGTCCTCAGACATCCGCTGATGCTCAACAAGGCAGTATATCAGCCACTGAATAACAGGAGTAACAAGCAAATAGTCCAGCCAAAATAGGGATAATGATACATATAACAAGTTCTACGTCAATCGTCATCACCATGGCGGCCATAAAGAACAACGCAACACCTGATGCACTCGCGCGGCATCCACAGATCCACTGCAGTCAGCAGCTTACGGCACAGCCTCCTGCCTGGCATCAGGAGAAAGCTTACAAACGCCGCTAAGGCTTATTAAAACACTTTATCGGCATTATAGTTCATATGAAAATAACACTAAAAACTGCAATATTAACACTCGACACGGAGCGCACGCACCGGCAGTAGTCGCACACCCTACCTTACTGACCGCAGACGCCACACTGAGCCTGAAACGTTTCACGTTTGTTGCTCGCAGTCACACCATCCGAGTAGTGCAGTGCCGAACCTCGTACAGACGCTGGGCTTAATGTCATCTATTTAAAGGGCATCCTTCACTGCTGTTAATCTCTCAACATTTATTAGATATATATATTCTTAAGCATCGCTGCGGTTCAGTATAGAATATATATTTTCCTCACGATTACAATTGCGAGAACTCACCTCTCCACCACTCACCCCACCACCTGTCTCTTATACACATCTAGATGTGTATAAGAGACAATTGTAAAGGATAGAAATAGTTGGGTATTTTAATGTAATGCGAGGCGATAATTTTTGTTCCAAAATGGTTTATTATTTTGAATTTGTCATTTTAGTTTAGAGTTTACGGAAGGCTATAAGTGCGGAAGGAGAAGGTGATAAGATTATTCTGTTGTGGAAAGCCGGAGCGGAGGTATGTGCTGCGTTAGGATGTGGACATGTAAATATATACGTGAATAGATTGATGTGAACTAATTGTGTAAATACTTAGGTTATATATGTATGAATACTTTAATGTTTAGGTAACTATTATTTATCTGTTTTATTTGTTTCTTTTGTAGGAAAGCCTCAAATCTCAGAGTCAAGAGTTAGTCTCGAAAGCCATGCATCCAAGATGAAGTGTTGAAGTGTTAATGTGCCGAAGTTATTCTATATTATTCATTGTGTTCATTGAAAGTGTAATAAAGTGTTTTAATAAGTACTCGTTAATATCCAGAACCTATACGATCCTGTAGGCTAGTTGGGTGTTCTGAGAGCCCCAACACCACCACCACTCACCCCACCATAACCACGGGCCACGGCTATAAACTAAAAAAACTGCGTTGTTACACATCCACGCGACAAAATTTCTTCTCGCTTCGAATCACCGACATGTGGAACAGCCTCTCCGATGACATCGTTGGCGCTCCGAGTATGAACGCGTTCAAGAACAGACTAGATAAAGCTATGGGAAAATATATGTTCAGACATGACATGACAAGTCATGTCACTCACTAACTGTATTTAACTTGCTACTGTATTTGTTCCTGTCATGTCATGTCATGTCATGTCATGTCATGACATGACATGACACATATTTTCCTTCATCGTTTAAATTCATCAAGTTAAGGGAAGTTCACTTAAGTACAGTTTCATGTGTTTGAATTTTACAATAGACTAGGAAAGTTCGCTGCAGCATTTCAACGAGTAACAATCGAAATATCTAAAGTAAAGTAAAGTATATTGGTTGAATAACAACTAAGTTGATTAAAGTTCACAACTTTACCAGTGAATAAAATATATCTCTTAACGAGATTGAAGTCGCAAATGAACAATTGCTCGTTCTAATCGGATTCAATGCAACCAAGAAACTTAGCGTAATCAAAACAATCATTCCCAGTAAATGCGAAATGTGCCTACAAATCATGTTACACGTAAAGTGATCAAATCACTCTCATGATAAGTTGATTTTGCAATCATAGAAAGCAATATTTTGCTTCGCACAGCAGCAAATGCTTGGTATTTAAACTGCTGACAAGACGATTTGTTCTCAACACGCAGAAGCATTAATCCTTGTTCGGTTTCTGACCTGTGACGGCTGAAGTTTGCTGCGATCAGCGAAGCAAGCGCGTCGGCCACGAGAATCTGCAAATTCAGCGCGCATGTTGATGCATTGCTAGGAGATGGTATTCATAATTAATTAAGATGTTATGCTTAGAAGAGAGTCGAAAAATCGTCGACTATTGAGGTGAGAGAATATTGTCGATTTGTCGGTATGAGAACGATTGTCGGTATTATTCTTCCGGTCACAGTTTGTGTAACATTTCTGTTGGACATAAGACATGTTCTCCCTCTTACTCCCCCCATACAATATTTGCCTAATTTCTATAGAAATGTTCTTCGTCTTACATTCCAAGAAACCAGATATGACACGATGAAAAGGTTCCATGTTTACTAACTGAATTTCAGTAACTGAAATTTTATTGCGTTGACAGATATCACATTGACTTGGCAAGCAAGAGTTGCATAAGCGATTTGTGCGAAGAATTAACGCAACTTTCACAATCGTGCACACAATTAATTATTCGCTTGCATTAGTTAGGACGATACAAGATTTAACGCAAACCTTGCTTATGTCTTCTGATGGCTATCATGCTCCACATATAAAGGGTCATGACATATTTTTATCATGTCAAGCAATGAATTGTCTGGGACGCAGGTCGTTATGTGAAGCGAAAACGATTCATCATGACTCTTAAGTCATCATCGAATGTTTCGTTGTATCACTTTCATATGTGTCACTCTCATGTTGGCACACTCATATAGTCACACTCATGTCTTCACACTCATATAGTCACACTCATATTGTCACACTCATGTCTTCACACTCATATATAGTCACACTCATGTTGTCACACTCATGTTGTCACTCTCATGTTGTCACACTCATGTTGTCACACTCATGTTGTCACACTCATGTTGCCACACTGTGGGAAATTTTTCCCACCATTATTAATTTTTGTAATCATTTGTAAATTTGTTGTCTATATGTCGTTTTCTGTTCATGTTGCGTTCGCAGTTTTGTTGTATTCAGTTTTTTCGTAGTTTAAGTAGGTAGTAAGTATCAGCTAGGATGGGACTCCTTCATAAGCATTCATACCATTCAGACGTTCAATCTCGCAACGTGCCTTAACTCAAACGCAGCTAGTTCTCAGTTATTCACTTCTGGATCTACATTCACTTCATCCAGCACAGCAACAGGACCTTCAGATTCTAAATATCTTCCTGGTTACTGTTTCACTATCTTTTTGTTGGTGTGAATGTTGCTTTTTTTCATATTAATTATTTACGCTCTATGTAAAACTTTTTTCTATGGTACTCTAGACAAATCAATATTCAATTCAATTATTAATATCTCAAGTTTCTAATTGGCTACGTGGTCTCTGATATTGGCAGAGGAACTAGCTTCCTTTGCTGTGACCCACGATTCATCATCTTTATCTTCAATTTTCTAACGTCAAAATCTCAAACTGTCCTTTTCTATTTTTCCGTCTAGAGTACCTTCCTTTATCTGATTTCGTCTATATTTCTAATTTGCCTCTTACTAAATGCATTAAGCACTAAGATGCACCAAAATCTTAGGTTGGTCAATTTGGTTATTTGTTGATTATTGATTGATTCATAATTTGGAATAATTTGCTGCATAACTAGTTTGTGATAAATTAATTGTTTAGTAAGTAGTAAAATTTTCATTTCAGTATCTGGGACTCGTCGGGGCAACACCTTTAAGGAACTTGAAATTCGGCATTCAATATACCTTCATTGAACCGCCCGTTCTTCAAAGATTTTTATACTTCAGCATATGAATTATCAAATTCGGCTTCTCATACAACTGGCCCTATTAACGCCAGTTGCACGTTGAATCAATCTGAATAAATATCAACTGACTCTATTCTCTTTATTTTGTCCGATTGTGTGAGGCAATCTTTATTACTCACAACACTCTTGCAGTCATCAGTCACCACTGAGGTCAGTGATGTCACTGATTGGATTTGCTCGGCCCGCGTAAGCTCGTCGCTCAAACGAAGTGATGATTTTTCATCCAACAGTTCCTGAGCCACGCAATCATCCATGCAATCAACATTCACCACATAGTCATCTTTGTTCATCATGGTGTTAAAACACCTGTTATAAATATTGTTTACTTTGATTATAATGCCATTTCGGAATATATTAATATTATACAGAAGACGTCGGTCTTACGCTCTTCTTTGAATTTAGTTTCATGATTAAATAAATACGTCAGTCTCAGGGCTTCTCCCTTGAGTCTAATTGATCATGATGACAACAGAGCGTTGATAACAGTCTTGGCAACATGTCGCCTGTAGCAGCCTTATTTTACTTCTACAGTAGTCATTAGCTGTTGAATGTCATTATGACAACAGAGCGTTGATAACAGTCTTAGCGACATGTCGCCTGTAACAGCCTTATTTTACTTCTACAGTAGTCATTAGCTGTTGAATGTCATGATGACAACAGAGCGTTGATAACAGTCTTAGCGACATGTCGCCTGTAACAGCCTTATTTTACTCCTACAGTAGTCATCAGCTGTTGAATGTCATGATGACAACAGAGCGTTGATAACAGTCTTGGCGACATGTCGCCTGTAACAGCCTTATTTTACTTCTACAGTAGTCATTAGCTGTTGAATGTCATTATGACAACAGAGCGTTGATAACAGTCTTAGCAACATGTCGCCTGTAACAGCCTTATTTTACTTCTACAGTAGTCATCAGCTGTTGAATGTCATGATGACAACAGAGCGTTGATAACAGTCTTAGCGACATGTCGCCTGTAACAGCCTTATTTTACTTCTACAGAAGTCATTAGCTGTAGAATGAGACATCTTTTTATTCCTTCTGAATTTCAACGATATCAACACCCAATTTATTTTTCAGTCGTTCGTCATGAAGCGTCATTACACAGCGTCATTTAAATTTCTACGATATGATAGCGTTAAATTCTACGACATTCAACTTTTTACAACATGATAACGTTAAATTCCACGACATTTATTTTGTACGATATGACAACGTTAAATTCTACGACATTTAACTTTCTACGACATGATAACGTTAATCTCTACGACATTTACCTTTCTAAGACATGATAACGTTAAATTCTACGACATTTAAATTTCTACGATATGATAACGTTAAATTCAACATTTATTTTGTACGACATGACAACGTTACATTCTACGACATTTAACTTCATACGACATGATAACGTTAATTTCTACGACATTTAAATTTATTCGACATGATAACGGTTCACATCGCTGTAAGACGGTCATGTCTACGTCGCTGTAAGACGGTCATGTCTACGTCGCTGTAAGAACAGCTTCTTCAGCAAGCATTCCCTAGCAGCTACACTCACCTCGTGGCCGCCATTCAAGCGCACCTTCTTCAGTTGCCAACAGGAGCAGTTCACTTGCAGTGGGTACCAAGTCATGCTGGTCTGCAGGGAAACGAGGCAGCTGACAAAGTTGCCAAACAGGCAGCCGCTTCTGCAGACCAGACATCGCAAGTTCCTTTCGACTTCTCTGAGCAATCAACCGTGGGCCCATCGCATGCTGCAGACTCGCAGATTCGAGACCCTATTCGCCCGACTACGACTCGGCACTGCTCTACTAAACAAGTCTCTCCTCCAGATTCGCCAAGCCCCATCACCACTCTGCCCTTCGTGCCAGGTGCCAGAAACAGCACATCAATATCTCATAGTCTGCACAGAGTACGCAGAAGCCCGCTCCCAACTGCGACGTCAGATAAACTCCCAGGTGATACTTGTCCTCAGCCTTGAAACCCTACTGGGATGAGATATCACCAGCAGCCCTACCTGGCCTCAGACCTGCAGAGCCGTGGAAAACTTCATCAGCTTAACCCACCGCTTTGACCCTTAATCGTTAACAAACAGCTGCTTCCGGAGTGAATCGTCCAAGGCGCAGCACTCCGTTAACCCATCAAAGAACAGAACAGTGTTAATGCAGTCAGACAGCTTTGACGCTCAATACAGGCTCTCTGGCCCAACGGCCGTCCTCGAGGTCGACCTGTGGCTTTAAGTCTACCCAGTGTAGACACCCCGAAAAGAAGAAGACCGCTTTGACGTGACCACAACTATGCGCGATCTTCAACGAAATGTTTAGGTTGACTTGTGATTCAGCTTCGGTCGTATGCGGACCTGTGTATACGAACATTGAACAATCAATTCCTTTTTCGTTTTTGCTAGAACCACATAGTAAGTATTTTGAGGTAAATATTGGTCATTAGGATTCCATCTCTTATAGTATAATTTTCTCAAATATTGAAAATTTGAAATTCCCCCCTTTTTATTTTATTAGTTATTTAGTTTTTTTTTTCTCGTTAATTTTTTGTGGCCCTGGCCCATAGGCCTGATAGGGCCACATCAAACAATCATAACAATGAAAGTGTCTCCTCTGGAAACAGAACAGTCCCATGCAATTCTGAAGGGTGGAATCAAACCGGTGCTGTGATGTAGCTGGAATTTTTTTATGATGCTCTTGTGCCTCTTGATGGTGAGTTGCCACTTGCCAGTCCATAGTGGCAAACTAGAGCTTTTTTAGAATCAGTTCATTTTTAATTTCCTCATTTACTTAAAATTTAAACCAATTTCTTAAGTATGATAATGCTGGTATGAGTGGTCATGGTGTCATTCTATATTAATTATATAAGAACATGAGCTTTAGGCTAATTGCACCGCAACGAAAATGTCGGACCGCCGCAACACGTGTCACACCTCACCTCACGACGATGTCTTCATGACTGTCGGAATCCAAATGTAAACATAGCCAGCTGATTAGCAGAGCGAGCGCTGATTGGTCACCACTCAGCAGCCAACTGCCTTCTGTATTTGAACTGTCGGGTTTCCTGAGACCAGGGACGCATGTCATTTTTTCGCAATAAATTAAAGAAAATGCATACATATGTATTCATACATAGCTTAAAAAATCGAGAAAAAAATAACAAAAATGATGATAACAAATTTACCCTACTTTACGCCTGAAATAAGTCAAAATTCTCGAAAAATCATAATAAGGAAATACATGGTAATATCTTTTACTAAATAGTGCATAGTAATACTGATGAAGACATTGGTACAATGCTAAATATATGCGTGCCTACTTGCTAATACCAAGTAGTAGCAACTAGTGCATCGGCAGTCATTTTTATTGGTATATTTGAATACATTTGTACGCGTTAAAAAGCAATAGTACACTCAAATTTTAAATTAAATTTGATTCGAAGACCAACCAATATTCGGAAGTCGGAACGCAAGCTTAAGTCAGTTAGTCCTTAAAAAAACACAGAAAACT